GGGTTAACTACCATTCCATTATCCGGAAGGCGTTGGAATAAGGGTGTAAGATGTCGATAATGTTCATCTCTATTTGATGATGCGATTAACAGGTCATCAACATAGACGTGAACAAAATCAAAGTCTCATTCTATGCTATCGATAAACCTTTGGAAAGTTTGAGCAGCATCCCGTAATCCAAATGGCATTCGTAGGAGCGCAAACCGGATGGGATAGCTATCAAAACGTGTTACTACGTTTAATGCTCGGTAGTCGCCACATGGTCGCCAACTTATCCCATCCTTTTTGCAAAAAATGGGGAGTGTTGAGGCCCAGGGACTATGAGAAGGACGAATAATACCTGTAGCTAGTAAATTGTCAAACTCACGTTTAGCGGAAGCCAATCTGTCCGGTGCCAGTCGGCGAGGTCGTGCCGTAACTGGTGGTCCGTCGGTGAAGATGTGGTGTACCACATGATGAGTCACCGATAGAGTCTCCTCGAGTGGTTTAGTTAGCTGGGGAAATGTTTCGAGTATAGCGTGGAAAATGTCATTAAGCAAATGAAATATCCTGTAATATGGTACATAATAGGTCCCCTGGTAAAAACTCCAGGGCATTTCCAGCTGGTTAGTGATGCAGCGAATCCCAAATCATGATAACACTGCCGCACACCAGACCTGTGGGTCGTAAGGAATAAACGCTACAGGTCAAGAATAAAGAACCTGTCGGACTCGGCTAAAATATAGAATATAACGATGCAAATCACACAACGGATAAAATAATGAGAAAATTGGGTAGAAGAATTACAGGCTCACCGAATTTAATGCGTATTCGTGGTTCCGGCTAATTAATTGTAGTGGTACCAAATAAACCTACAACTTCGCCGGATAACAAATGTTAATCTTGGTAATCTAGAAATCAAAGAAAAGGTGATTTTAGATGACGAAGTATATTTATCGCTAGTCTTGTGATATCGAAATAATATCAAGGCTAGAGTGCTAAAACGACCAACAACACTGAGGGGATAGGTCGAGCGGGAAAAACACGCTTGGCGCTCGAGATATGGCCTTTAGTACAGATAAACAAAAGGACTGCAATATAACAAATGTTTTTAGAATTAGGTACAATAATAAATGCTTGTATCTCAACAGTTGTGTTTTCTTCCTTAAAATATCCCACTACATTATACCCTCCTTAAAAGGGTTTACACTTTTGATACGTAACGGTTTCGTGAGGAGGAGGGGCTAGTCAGCTAACGGACGATTGTAGGGCGGAAGGGTTGACAAAAAGGAAACGACCACTTCAGCTCGAGTTGTCGTCGGAATTCTTTATGGTGAATTGCACCAACAGCAACGTGCCAAGTTTAGTGCTCGGGTCGGCATGCCACACCAGTGCGGCTCGTATCCAGAGTCTGAAGATTGCGTTCGTAGGGGTTCGTGCCAGAAAAACCTAACCTTTCTGAATAATGCTACCTCTACCTCTGTGAGATATGAATTAATTGCATATCTTTGTTAATGTGGTATGGCAACTTGAACTGATATACGTTCGTACGAAGCTCTGTGCTGTAAGCGACAGACTGACAATGTATTTTGCCGTCTCATTACTGAACATAAATTTGCATTCATCTTTTTGATACAACAGATATGAGGGATTATTTAAAACTAAGCTAGCTTGACTGAAGACTAGAAGTGGTTTCAGGTGACTTAAACCTGCTACCTACGTAAGTCATAGTTTACCGAAAATAAATAAAAGTCATGTTAAAATATCTAGGAGATTTCTCGACGGTTTCAAAAACTCAGTTGGTAAACTGAATGAACATCTTTGTCTCGATTTGCTAGATCGCGATCAGTTCCTGTTTCCCTGATAATTTAGACTGCAATCATCGTGTAACTCAGATGTTCATACCCATATTGTGGCACATTTGGAAAACAAATGCGGTAATGATGCTCTTAAAAGTGACTGTGAAATACCAAACCACGATAAATTCGGCACACGACTCAAAACAATTCGAAAGTAGGGGAACACATTGAATTTCGTCAAAGTAAAATGTAGGTATCAGTAAGAATTTTACCATATGGTTATTCATTCGAGAAACTTGATCCAGTTACGGTGTAGATCATAGTAATAGATTTCCATTAATTAAAATGCAAGTAGCTCATAAAAGCGCAAGACAAAATATTGTAGCGGTTAAAATATTCACATCCAGCTTGAGAATGAAATATGTTCTAAATAATATTCTCCAACCAACAAAACCAAAAAAGTTGCACGAAACCTTTACCCAACAATGACACATTCGACTTACTGATACCATAATATCAGTTACAACTGTTTCCTTGAGTTATGCTCTGCTTTAATTTTGGTGTTATGGATTGCACACTTGAATCTTCGCCTGTAACTGAGAGGTTTTACAGAAACATAAGCAGTCCAAGCGACTGGGATGATGGGTGGAATAGAGCGCGTTATAGTCCATTAATGTTTGCATTTGGATAACCATTGAGCTACTTATTTCTCTTATCAGTAACTAGAAGTTCGAAAGCCATGCCACAGTGACTAGTTCGGCTGCAAGTTGTTTTTTTCACAGATGCTATTCGTTCCTAAAATGCAATCACTAGACGAGCCTGACTGTCTCAAGGATACGACTATTAGAATTGACTAGCTACTACATCTCAAGAAACGTTTGAAATCATTTCAGAGAAAGAGAGATTCCTTGTCGATTAATGATACTCCATTTGTTCGATGATCACAGTGTAATTCATAGTGATCTTTAACCATCAATCCCAGATTCGGTACATTACTTCATTATGGTTGAAGTCACCTACATTAATATATCAACAAGCATGATATACTAAAGGCACTAAATAATAAAACAGAAACTTCAACTCCCGAAAAACTATAGTTTGGATAGTGCTTGTTACTCATGTTCACAAAACTACGCTTATAAATGCAACTATGACCTTTCTTGCTATTTAATTTGCAACAAAGCTATAGCAGTAACTTTTCTTAGATGGCAAACTGTCTTCTAACTGAGCATTCTCATACTGTCCTCATATGAGAATGAGGTTACAGGACTGGTCTCTTTTATCTTTTACGAGGCGTACGTTAGGTATTTGCTGACAAGGATTCAAGTGAAACCTGAAAAGCCGGAATAAAGATTGTGTTTTCGCCTTTAAAATAAAGCTAGACTCACAGTAAGAGTATTTTACGATTCCTTTTACATAGATCGGCACCTAATTCGAATTCGAAAGGCAATACTTTCGTCTGAGTCCACGTAATTCTTCCGAAGTTTAGTACTGGTCCATTTGTGACTACTCGAGTACGAGTTAGAAATTTTTCAGTGTACCAGTTAGTATAAATACCCTCAAAAACGAATCCGGTCTTTCTTTATGACATTGATATTGGAGAAAGGATTCGAACTTCTTTCCAAATGTTGAAACGTACTCAGAAATCTAAATATAGTATCATCATTATACCTGACAAGATCAAAAGAATTCTGCCATAAACTATTATCAGAGCCGGTAAATCTCCGAAGAAAAAGGTTCTGTAAGTTTTGTAAAGGTTCTGGTTCCATTAGTTTTAGTGCATACACTGAGCTGGAGGCTCTTGGTCACGCTCCCAGACCAGGTCATCATGAGGTGCACCGTGCAACGCATCAACCAACAAATTTAGTTCGCTGACTCCTCCACATCCCAACTATTACATCTTCATTTATGACTTCTGGTTTGACTGGGCTTTGGGTATGCTTGGTCTGAAATTTGTTATGACAGAGGCGCTATCCAACTCTAAATATCCGTGACACCACTACCACTAACGGAAGGCAAAAGTAAACCCTTAAATCAAGAACAAGGTTTCAATGAGCCAGTCTTTAGACACTAAATACGTTATGGCTTCAGGCACGGTCATCCACAAACATTTATCGAGTTATCCGGGTGGAGATTTTATACCCTATAGCAGGTCATTCATATCCCACCGATTTGTGAATCTTTCAGGAAAGCTAGTGAATTCCATACAACTACTCCAATAAAACTTTAATATCGCGCAACTACTTTTTATCCAATTCAAGAAACACGTGGCTCAACAACATTTATATTTCAACGGCAAAGTACTTCATCGTTGGATAAACAGTAAGATTTAACACTAAGCTTTAACACTAAGTTTACAGTATATGCATAATCTTACAGTCAGCCCAGTTTCTTTTATACGCTATCTTCCCAATTTCCTCTCATCTTTTCTCTTGTTATATACATACGCGACCGTAAAGCAAAGGGAATAGAAAGTCAGTCATTGCCCAGGAATATAAGAAAGTATGGCTTCACCAACAAAGTAGAATATTGTTCAGCATTTTCAAAATATTATCCCCGATTGGCAATTGGGGCATATGTGAATATCAGATGAAAAACGTAATTTTGCCATTTGCCTGATGTCACAGTAAATATGGCCCTTCTGGAAGTAAAGATCACTACACAGTACACTTTGATATTTGTTAGCTACTTAGTAATCTTTTTGCAAATATGTAGGACTTTCGGTCACCTGCATGTTCAGAAACTCTAGCTATTGATAAACAGGCTCCTTTGACGAATTTGATTAGGCAGACAGCCACTGTCTCTACATAATCACTGAGCTGTTAAACTAGGTTAAAGAGGTTTGAATAAGTTTACCCGTTAGACCCGTAGCTGACATGTTACCGGAAAATATGTGCACCAAATGTTTTCGTCATGATATAAAGTCTTCCAATTATTCAGTTACCATGTACTGATTTTTGAGGTCTTCCAGAAATGAAAATCTTACAAAAGTACTGTGGAGAATTTATGAACTTGAAGCCATTTATTTACGATTAATTTCAGATTCTTCATGGCTGTTAGGTATTTGATCAACTGCTCAAGTGGCCATGTGGCCAAAGGTGAATGACACAGTAGGCTACGCCGGATGAAAGACACTAGCTTTCGCCAATAACATAGGCCCTCAGACTTCCTTTACTTCATAAAATAAAAACCTACTCATTTGTATTGGACAATGCATCATTTGTTTATATCGCCTTTCATTCACTCGCTGTCGGTTTGATTGGCAAGCATGCAACGACTGACGTTGAGGCGCAGGTTGTCGTACAATACTAATTCAAATAAAAGGAAAAAGTAAGTTATTATTGCTTAATCTCTTCCTAAATTTACCCTCTAAAACGATTCTGAGGGTTAAATCAATAGCCATCTACTGACCGGGCCTTGGCACGGTAATCTCATGGCTTACATTTCCTGTCGTAAATGGACTACTTGTGTAAATATCATATATGTCCAAATTGTCGTAATCAGGTTGTCAACGTGTGAATGTCTAGTGTGACGCAAGCGTTTTAAACCTTGAAGAATGGAGATACAAATCACAATCACTAGTCATTCAATTTACAGCACAGATGTTGTATAAGACGGTCAGACTTTCAAGTGATAAATGGTGTTGAGTCTATCGATTTACCATTAACATGTATTGACGAGTGCCTAAGTTCATTACTACTTTCGACAACCACAACTTACAGTTTAGCTTGACATCAATGGTGCCTTTCAATACCGCTATCTAAATGCCTAGAAGTCATGATGGCATCCTTTCTTTGAGCTCTCAAGTTCCTCCTACCCATTGCTTGAGATATGCATCTTAAGCTAGTAACTGGAGGTATATTAAATGAATGTCCACTTGAGGTCATTCACACACTACTGTTTGCAGTAGGCATTCTTAGAGTACCTCATCAAGTAATGTGATATGTTCATGCTCTACAGTTCTTTGTATCATCTACACAAAACAAGTTTTTTCATTGCAGAGTTAAGACTCCTGGCGGCAAAGTTGTTTATATCTATGTAAAGAAACGTGGAACATTTCCAAAATGTGGTGATTGCAAAAGTAAACTTTTCGGTATCAAACCGTCCAGACCTCGTGAAAGGGCCGCAATGAGTAAAAGACTAAAGACTGTTAACAGATCATATGGTGGTTCACGCTGTCACACTTGTGTACGTAATCGGTAAGTTGAATGTATAAAATTTTAGTGATTGATAGGATCATACGTGCTTTCATGATGGAGGAGCAGAAAGTTTTGAAACAACTCATCAAGGAACAAAAAAGAAGAGAAAAGAAAGTTACTTCGGAACATAAAAAATAAATAATAAACAAAAGCTCTGGGATGTCTGATTTTTCTTTATATTGGGATAGTTTATTGCGTTTCACCAATAGCTCATTATATACCGTGAAGTCGACTGTCGGCCTCATACCTAAAAAGCCTGTATATAGGCGTGCAAATGCGTTGTGCTTTCTATTGTTTCAAATCAGTTAAATTATTTTTAAGAAGTTATGGTGAAGAGTAATCGTTTAACTATTAATCTTGTCTATTCCTGATACATTTAAGATTAACCACTCTTCAAAATCGGTAGGTTAGATGAACCCTATCATGAGTCCTGTATGCTCCGAATGTGCGAATGAGTCCTTAAATTATAACGTTGCGTTAAAATCGGGTGGGTCCTCTGCAGTTCAAAGTGTACCGTTTAGATCATGAAGTTTTGAGTGATTCAGTTCTTAATGTTAAGGAATTGAGTAGATGGTTTTCTGTGGATTCACGGACTGATTGAGTTAGGTGACAGTGATTCTCCGCTGTACAGTACGTGGTCGTGTATATGGCACCACTCCAAGAAGTTTTTGTATATGATTCGTCTTAATAGTCAATTATTTAGGATGGAAGCCGGTAGTTTTAAGAAACCTGGCTCAAATTTATAATTTTGACTTGATACAATCGTCAAAGAACATCTGATGTTATGTTGGTTGGTATCGATGTCTTATGGCGTTTCAATGCACCGAAGTAAGCGAACTTTGATGTATCAGTCAGCTACATCATACATCAGTCCAAGTTGCCATACCACACTAGCAAGGAGATGCAATCAATTCAAATCTCATAGTGGTAGGGGTAGCAGAAGTATGAGCATTGGTCAGGAACATTAGGTATCGAAGATATTGCTCAGGAAGTATAATCCAGTGAAATAACCTTGAGAATAGATGAAAGTCACAAGGAAATGAAAGGTTTGAATTCGAGGGGAGACAATAGATGCGCCTTCGTTACTGCAGACGATTTTGAGCCATGTCATTCAAGGTCTCCAAACATTAGATATCATCTCGCCGACCTCAACATGGCTCAATCCACTTGTCAATGACTTCATGGATTTATGCCATGTTTTGGTTTGGCTGCCCTTAGCTTTCTTCCACATCACAAAATATCGCCCATCGTTGGTTTGAGCATTCGTAGCACATGTCCAAACCAATTCAACTGATGAAGTTAAATTATTTCATCTGTTGATTGAGAGCGAAATCACAATCATCCATCTAAGCTACCAATTTCCTCTTCTCATAGTGTAATTCCAACGAACACCTGACCTGCCTTCTAAGCTGGCTACTTATGTATTTTAACTTGATCACGTTAGCGTAATCTTACAAGTGATTTTTAGCCTTGGCAATTTGTCCGGTGATAATCCTTGGGACACGCTTCGCTGTCTAGAGTACATTCTGTTAAAGCAAGATACAGGTGTTCATTACCCCTTCTATATAGTGCTTTAGCGATTAGTGAACGTTTGAAGTAATTCCAAATACAGGCAGATGTTGATGACACTCGTTACTGACGTTGGACCTGATATTGATCCAACTTCCACAGCTAAATAGAACTATGTAAACAAGTCACTGGGTGAACGATATCGGTATCACTGGTACTTGAAAATGACAAGGTCTGTTTGTTAAAACTATGGAATCCTGTGAACTTGACATGCTGATTCTCCGAAGTAGTATTAGTGTGGCCAGTCCACTTGGTGTCGCCTAGTTCAAATAACTGACTGGTTTCTCAGAAAACTTAGCGTTATGTTGGGCAGTTATGGCACATAAGTAGGATAGGGTATACTGCACTCGGTTAGACCTGGACAATCGTACGTACGTCTGATTGGACTAGTCGCTATTCGGGTAAACGGGATGAGGTTTACGTAAGTTATTGGCCATCAACCAGTTGCAGTAGTTAAGGCGTACAGTTTTCGGGTTCACGCAGGTAGGCTACCAAATTGAGAGATACTGAAGAATTTTACGATGTCCTAGCATGACAGAAAAGAATTAGGATACTTCGGTGTAATTTCGTAAAGACTGTTAAGCTAGTAAGCATGATTATATCAATGAAGTGTAGACTTCGATGGACTTCTGTGTACGTTTTATTGATGGATTAAACAGATATCTGAAGTAACAGTTTTGTTCGTATTACTGCTTCATTATTGCTGTAAACCTATGGAGAACCGTTTGAATGAGCACATGAGATTTGAAAATATAGCCAGAACATTTTCGGATCTGGTCACAACTCCAAGTACCAATCATGTTGACGTTCACTACACATCAACCACTGTTTCGAAACTATAACCGTGATTGTGTCGGAAAACGATGAACTAAAATGAGCTGTTCCTGCCTTTTACAAATGACATGAACACGATACGGTCTAAGTGACTTCGAACGCCTTATTATCAGCGCTTAAGTGTACATAGAATTACGCAACGACTTGTACACAAAAATGCAAGTCTACGGTTGTGCCACCCTCAAAAGATCTAGATCTTATGGGCACACATATTTCCCTACTGTCATTACCTGGATGTCTCCTCTATTGATTCCTTAAAATGGTTCACTTTGAATTCACGTCATTTGTCAGTTATATATCGAATGATGCGCTTCCTACTACGTTCAGCTAGAACCAACCTAAGATGGTGGAGAAGATTTGAAGCTCAGGTGGATGATTATGGTCGTGTTTCGTTCTCTGAGCTGGATATTTTAGTTGCGGAGTTTTCATTGTTATTCTGAACATCATCAGCACAAACTTAAGGTAGAAGCGAATTCGAATTTCTCCACGTTTTACCTGTGGCTTGTTCTGCTAACCTCGATCTTGATTGGTTGCATTTATTTACCTTAAACCTGTCGTTGGTTGCACCCTTGGTTTGATTATATCCCCCTTTTGATTTGTTCCTTGATCCTATGTCACCTGATATTTCTGATTGATTCAATGTCGATGTGTTTGTTGATTGCTGATTGACCTGAGTGCCAAGATGCCGAAAATTCTCGAGTGTTCTTTGTCCCCCCCTATCCAGTATTTCCTCATTCTCCCAATCGAACGGCTTGAATATCACGACATATTGCCAAGTACATAAGTGGTAGCGAACTTTTACAATTAGTCACGAATTACCGCGTTTTAGACGAGTATCGACATCGAAAACTAATATAATCTGCAGACTACAAGTGATCAAGTTACATAAGCGTTGACTTTTTTTTAATAACGGTCCGAAACATTCTTTGCATGTGGGTTACGCATGTTGGGTGTAGGTGCCTGCTGCTACTTTTTAAACTACCTAGTACAGAACATCCGAATTTCACGATATGCGGAGTGGGAGAGATGGTCCATGTACCCTTTGTATGATTACAAAACAATGGTACGTGATATAAAATAGCAGTAATGTATTTTATTACGAACAATAGAAATTATGTTTTGAAGACTATGTAATACAAAATAAAAACGAACCAATGTGTATTTTACAACCTATAAAAGAAAAGATAAATTAACAGATGACTTTTATAACACGATTAGTAGGTCTCATATCAAGTTCCAATACATGTAATAACTATTCACATATGCGATATCTGTCAATTAAAATAACATAGAGCACCAATCTTCGTATGTGTCTAAAAGTAACGTATGTTTAGTAATAAGTATTCGCAAGAATGGTTTTGTCTGAATTTCATATCTAGTTAGCGTCAGATCGCAACCGGTCATTTGAGTTGTGAAGTCAAAATGACAATAAGTTCTACGGAAATTACATATTGACGAGTAGTTAATCTTGTGAAATACGACCAAACAAGCTTAATATGTCAGTTGTTAACAAAAAAAGGTATTAAACACTTTTTAGCTCCAGCATCTATGTGGTCAAAAGCAATATCCTTCAGTAAGCTTACTGCCAAAAATTTCATGACGAAACTTAGTTCTCAAGATTACAATACTGCTGTATGTTATCTAATGTTCTTGTTTGCACCTAAGCAAGAACACTAGCCTTACTCGCACTACTAAGTACAGTGACACTGTCACAATACTTTAATGAAGAGACTTTAAAACACAGAAGGGATTTCTAATCTGACAGACTAGAATGGCACCTATGCTGATAAGCAGTCACAACCCTAATCACTTCATAGATCCATCTAGATCAAGTGGATGGAGTGCTACGTAGAGATTTAACTCTCAGAAGTTAGTTTGTAGAGATAAAAATCAGGTTACTGAAGATACATGTGAAAACCATTCCGAAGCTTCGGTTTCGCAATTTTGTTTGGGTGAAGGTTTATGGTTATTGTCAGAGATTTGAGGTTAAACTAATACCATGACAAGAGGGGAATCCGAAATATGCATCTACTTTTAATAGTCCGTATCGAATTTTCTGGAGATGGAATAAAGCACAGGGTAGCTACTGAAGTGCCATGTATACTAGTAGGTGAGACGTTTATGAAAGATTAACTTACTTATACATAGATTCCGACCCATAGCAAGAGAAACAATGTTCCACAACCAAGGAAGACAGATGCCACAACTGATATAAGCAATTCTTTCAGCAAAACTCGAGAAAATTTGTTTGTAGTTAATTCATATACGCTAAACCAGGCCATAAAGAATGCACCGATAGCCAAAAGTAAGAAAGTAAGTACAGGATAGGTGGAAGGATTTATTGGAGGCACATATCGCTCCATTTGGTCCAGAGTGATCTAAAAATCAGAAACATTATGACAAATCTTAACCTACATCCATTTCTCCGCCAGACTACGTAAGCGTATGTGTGGAGATAGTTATGACAAACTTAAAGCAATGAAGGCCACATTGCATCGAATACATTTTCAATATTCAAATAACAAGACATCGTAATCTTATCAATAATATTCTTTAATGGTTATTTAAACCTAAATATTTTTGGGTCTTAATTTTCGGAAACCATTCCAATTTTCTGCATCTACTGCTCTAGAGTCATCACGTAGATTAAACAGATATTTTGATATAAACAGATTGTGAATCAAGGTAAGCTTGTCCCGGAACAGTGGGGTTACTTGAAACAATAACCCATAAAACTACTGGTTGATTGTATTAAAGGTTCTGTAGCAGCTTCTTCATTATAACACCAACGTTACTTGTTCTAACGTTAAGTCAAACAAATAGTGCTAGTCTTCTCGTTTGATTTCACTCATATCTTTACCCTTTTTAATAACTCACGTAGTAGTTTTAAGTCTATTTCATATATGGTTTATGAAATTGAGTCCCCTAATGACTCTG